GTTAATTAAAGATTTAAATGTGATTTAGTTGTAACCATGTTGATTGACGCCTGGATACCCGACGACCTTCTGGCGTCATAAAATAGTAAGGTGACATTTTGTCACCCCTTGGCCTTACCGGCTGGGACTGTAGCTAGTAGTCGGGGTATGGGAGTGTCTGTCCTGTATAGATCGATACACATAATGCACGCTCTCCCTCCAAGAGACTCTGGTTACAAATGTGATACAGCAAAGTATTGTTATATCATGAAGTATTATTTCACATTCTAGTTATCGTGTTCTTTCTATACTTGTATATATATATATATATATATATATATATATATATGTATATGTATATGTTCTATCCTGTTCTTGTATATGTATATGTTCTCTTCCGTTCTTCGTATGTGTAGATGTATATGTATATGCTCTCTTATGTTCTTAGTATATGTTCTCTAAACTATACCTATTATAGTTTACTAGTAGGTTTAGTTTGTTCTCAACTTATAGAAAGGGGTTAATTGTTCAGCTTGAACAATATAGTTAACTATACCTTTTAGAGATAAAAATTTATATTCACATATGCATTTAGCATGTATAACTATGAGATAATCGATAGTCGGACTAGTGTATCCTACCCTAAGCCCACAACCAAAATAGGAATAGGAGTCAAGGTTATCAGCAATAGTCCTAAGTCCATTAAAGCATATTTATACACCAATGCATAAATGAATACAGTTTTGAAAGTAAAAGAGTTTGAAAGAGAGTTTATATGTAGTTTAAAAAGATCTTTACAATAAAATCCAACAATGTTTTTAAAGTTAGTTTGGAAATGAGTTTGAAATAAGATATTTGACAAGTATCCAAATGTTTATACTAACACAAATTTAATTCACTACAAGAAAAAGACCCTTTTACGATGCGCAAACCACGACACTCATTGATTTATGTTACGCAAAAGAGAGTGATATTAAAAAAGTGTCATCTCTTCAAAAAAATTTAAGGATTTAGGTCACGCATTATTGCGTGCCCTTAAATTAGTGTCTCATGTAAAAAAACTTAAAAACACGGAGGGCACTTTATCTAAAATGGGCGTCCTCTATAATGTCGCTTTATGTTTTTTACTCAAAACGCACGTTTTTGAGAAAATCCTCTTAAAATTCTAAAATTTTTAAATACCCCGCTTCAAGATCTCCCTTCGTTCTCTTCTTCCCTTCTCTCTGCAAACCCTAATCAAGATACCATCTCTACTATAAACCTCGACAACTCATATAATTGTTCTATACTTTTTTCTTAAAAACTCCGTTCATTCCTGAAGATCACAAAATGGAGACCAGCAACTAGGGCTTTTGTACATGCTCCCAAAGACGAACGTCGCAGAGCTAGCTATTAGGGTTCTGCGACTCCTCATGCTCACAACCAGAGATATAGTGTTCATCATCCACTCCTCTTCCCATCTACCCTACTTTCCGACAATATAGTTGTTAAGAATCATTTAGGGCTTGTTAATTGGTAAGAAACATTTTGTCCATTTTTAAAACCCCTTTTCGATCGATCATCTCTCGGTATCCCTTATTCCCTCCACTAATACCTCTAACCAAACCCTTAGCATCCCAAAACAACCCTAAACCCCCCACACGATAACTAGGGTTTTTTCACGTCAACATTCTCCAGACGATCGAGATAGAGTACGACTGCAACACTTCATCCTACCGGTCGGCGACCTCATCAAGCTCGCCTCACTTCACCGGCGATTGCGACTCATCAGCGTTACCGTCTCGGAGACTGCGTCCCGACCCTATTTTGGTCGAATACCTTATTTAGTTGTTTTGGTCCGCTTCCACTTCCCATCTATAGTCAACGACTCATCAATCAGTTCGACTTGTTTTCTTCCTCCGATAAAGCAACCATATACAACCTTCTTCTGAAGACCAGGTGAGTATTTCTTCCCATTTATTATTGTCTCTTGGTCCAATTATGCCATTCTTACAAAAGGTAAGTTCATATATGTAGTATTAGGAGTTATTGATTAAGTACGTTTCTTCCAATTTGAACCAACTTAACTAATAAGATTGGTGAATCTTTTTTTTTTCTTGATAATCATGTTTAAAAATCTGAATGTCTTTATAAAATATTTGACTTTGAATTACATAAATCTCAACAAATAAATAAAATAGTTGATAGTTATTTTTGAAAATAAACTGTGAGTTATAGGAATTCTTAAATAAACAGTCATTTGCTATTTACCATTATTTTTATACAAAAGGGTAAAATGGTCGTTTACCCATAATCAAGCATCTTGTTGATATTCATTTTCCCCTGTTAAATAATAATATGTATCTTTTGGTTAATCATGGTCTTAGGCTCTTGAACCTCCAACAGAAGAAGCCACTACTTCAGCAATTTCATTATTACATGAGGTTGATGCTGTTGAAGGTGATGAAGAATTGATACCTCTTGGGTATCATTTAGCAAAACTCCCTGTTGATTTGTTAATTGGAAAGGTATGCATGTGTTAATTGAAAACAAAATTTAATATAATCCTAATTTTATTAATTCTTTTGGTAGGGAGTTTTCGCTAACCAGCTTGACAGGAGATGATGCATCATGAAGATGCCATGGAAGAATATGTATATTCTTTTTTATAAGATTATTTGAGTTTTAATTCTGTTTTAACTCTTTTTTAATAAAAAAATTCACTAACATTATTGAAAATATATAAAGTGCACCAGATCATGATAATAATAGCATAACAGATTTAGGTCTGAAAGCGTTATATGAAGCAATCCCTCTTCAACCATCTTTCAGTTATTCTCTTGGTAATAATGCATTGACCACCACTACTAAACAAAGGGGCAATTTCGGAAAAAAGAGTTGCTAGACCACCTGCTGAAGGTAGAGGTCGGAATCAGTTACTATTGAGGTACTGGCAAAAGATAATTGATCAAGAAATATCTGGGGAGTATCCTTATTTTTTTATACTCATTTCTCATCTTCAACCATTATAATATCATATATGTGAAAGAAAACAAGTTGTTTTTTTCTTAACTATATCTTCCAGCTTGAATTCCAATTGCACTATTACTCTATTATTTGAGAAGGTTCTGAGTGCAAGTGATGCGGGTAGAATTAGGCGATTGGTTTTTCTTTTTTCTATCTTGTTCCATGGTCTAATTTTATGACTGGAATATTTTATATTTGTGCAGGCGTATTTCTCTCCTATTAATCAATCAAAAGGTTTACAAATAAGAATTCAGGACATAAAGGGGAAAGAGTGGACTTTTCAGTTCCAGAAGGCAACAGTGTCCCCATCTGAGCTCTATTTTGTGCAACTTATAAGGCTTTCTGGCAGAGTGATGATGGAGTTTATTGTTGATGAGAATACCTCCTAATCTTCTCCCATGAAGATCAAATCCTCGCCCTGTTTCCGTTATCCCCTTGGCCATCAATTCTTCACATTCTTGTATGTTGTATGAAAGATTGAAAGGTTTGGATATGAACAACTTAAAGTGACAAACTTTCTTACCTTTCTAATTTATTTTCTATCTTCTATTTTAATTTAATTAAGGAAATGAAAACTTAAAATAAAACATAATAAAATTTCTAAAAAATTTAAATTTGTTTCTTCAACTTTAACCCAGATTATATGTCTTTGATGCTACTTTTGGATTTTGGATTTTCATTCTTAACAAGTTTAGCTGTTGGTTACAGTTATTGGTGGTGAGATAAGGATGCTTCTTGAACAAAATAACAAGTCTTTAGATCAAATTTCTGCAAATTTATCTGTTTTGAAGGTAAAATTGTAATTTTTTTAAACTTAGAACCAAAATCATATGACAAAGTTCAAGGCCTTATCACCGGGCCAAAGATTATGTTTTTAAAATGTAAAAACAAAGTCACCTGATCAAAATACTCATCAGTCCCATGCATATCCTTGCTCTTAGGCAAAACAAAATTGGCTGCAAGTAAACAAACCATGATAATTAAATAAATAAAAAAAATAATGAAAAAATCTTTTCAACAGTTTTATTATTTGTAAATAACTACTTTTTCTGTTTAAGAAAATTTAGCCAGGGGTGAGGTTTGTTAGTGCTAGAAAGTGCGAATCCAATCAGCATGATGGTAATTCCAAGGGATTGGTTCTTCTTGCGATGTCGACCCTTTGTCTGAGAGGTAATTTTTTCCTTTCTTAATCCATACTCCTTTTCACACTGGGAGTGTTACTTCAATTATCTGAGTAGAAGCGTTTAAATTTAAGTCATCCATTTAACCTGTTGCTTTTTTCTATTCATAGAGGCAATTTTCTTGAAGCTCTTGAGAAATTGAATACCATTAAGGACCTAAAAGTTTCTTCTTTCCCTCTTAGAGGTAATGCAAAGCAACACCGAATGCATTTCATCTATCCCAGTTTGATCAAGTGTCAAAAATTTACGAAGTTCATTTTTATTTCTATGATTTGGTTTAGTAGCTACTATGGAAGCTCTTCCAGGACTTTATTTTGAATTAGGAGACGTAAGCACTGTCTGTTTGTGTTTGTGCTTCAATCTTTTATCCAAAATTCAAATACATAAACTCTGTATGTTCTTTGGGTACATAAATATCTGGCTATGGTTCCCTATATAGGATGACACTTCTTCAGTGATAGCAGAGCATTAAAATGGCTTATAGAGCTTATTCAGGGCAACACAGATTCATGTATGTCCCTGATTTTTGATAGTTGCATCTTCTTGTTTGTATGATAATCTAATAGAATATTTTCTTTATGCAGCCCGATCTTGTTTTACTGGAGCTGAAGATAACTTGGGAATTGGTAAACTCTTGCAACTCATGCCTCATTTCATATCAAGAACATTGTTATAAAAAACAATAATGTATGTGTAGGGAATGATGATGCTGAAGAGATACTAACAAGAAATAAGGTATTGTCTACTAACTAAGTTGGTTTTTGGTTTTTTTTTGTTTGTAGATAATGGTCTTTGAGGAACGCCCGCCATGGACAGCATAGACACTGTCTTAGCATGTGGAATGATGACCAGCAAAGTGGTGGGTCTAACACATCCAGCATCCCTGTAGGCCTTGAAGATTTGTTGGTTTCTTATTTGAGGCGTCCAACTCCTGAGAAGCCCTCTGATCAAGACAAAGTGGAGGAGGGTCAGCAGACGAAAAATGAGTCCCAAGAATCACCTGGTTAGTCAAGAAACATACCAAAGTGGAGGATGCACCACGTGATGCTGCTGGTTCTACACCAATCGACCCTGCATTTCTAGATACACTTCTCGAAGAGTTACGTGATGAGGTTCTTTCAGGCCAACAGGGACTGGTGGCGCCACCGCCACCTGCAACCATCGAACCACAAAATGATGGAGACATACACCCTGAGTTCCTTGCAGCACTTCCTCCAGACATTCAGGCAAAAGTTTTGGCACAGCAACAAGCACAAGGGGCTCACCGAGCCCAAGAATTGGAAGGTCAACCCGTGGAGATAGATATTGTATCCATAATAGCCACATTCCATTCAGAACTAAGGGAAGAGGTATGTTTGTACTTTTAGTTTCTTTTTAATCATCTATTTGATTGGTTGATATTTGTTTATATGTTTAGGTTCTTTTAACATCATCCGATGCGGTTCTTGCTAATCTGACACCTACTCTTGTTGCGAAGGCAAATATGTTGCGAGAGAGGTTTGCACATCGTTATATCGGACACTATTTGGTATGTTCCCAAGAAGTAGGAGGGATGAGTCTTCTAGAAGAGGGGAAGGAGATGGATCCAACATGGATAGAAGAGGTGGGATCATTACCTATAGGTCAAGTGGAAGTAAGCCTGTTGAAACTGATGGAGCCCCTCTAGTTGACCAAGAAGATCTTAATACAATGATTTGATTGCTTCTTGTAGTTCAGGTCACAGTTTGTTACACCTGTATTCATACATGCTAAACATTCTCTCTAAACATTCTAGTTTCCTTATAGGTTCCAGAAATACTAAAATCGTGTTTTGTGTATGTAGGTTTGTTGTTGTGTGCCAAACACCATGGTCCAGTGCCTTGTGATCATTTTCTGGTTTTGCTATAATTTTTAAGATCATTTCTCTTCTAGTTAAGATTATTGGCAATCCATCCTTTGTTGATAATAAGAATCTTTGTCTTGTTCTCTTGCTGATAGGTCTAAAAAAGCTCCAATGTGAATACGCCTTCTTCATTCTGGTTTGTTTCCAGCTAGGTCTCTTCTGTCAATCCCTTTGTGTAATCTTGCTTTTGTAAAAAAATTTGTGAAGAGGATACCCTCGGTAAAGCTTTTGTGAAGTGAAAATTACAAACCCTGTTTCAGCTTTATGTGTTATTCTGTGATGGAAGTCCTGCAGATTAGTGCTATGGCGTTTCATTGGTGTATAATCGCCTCATTGTCCAGGCTAGTTTGCAAGGCTTAATCATTATCTATGAGGCTTTTAGTTGCACAATTGCTTTTTTTTTCTTGTCTATATCTTGACATCTTGGATCAGTTTGAGTCATGATGAAAACTTTTTTGTCTTGTTTTCTTGCTGTTAGGTCTGGATTGGACCTTTTTCCCTATGTGACTTCTTTTGCAAATCCTTAATTCAGTGATCATTTCATGGCAAAAGGTAAAAGCCTCATGCTAGTTTCACATGAAACTTTCTGAAAAGATGAGGTTTATTTATTTCGGAAATGTGTGGTGTAATTTGCAGAAAGAAAGTTTTCACCCTTGCAGCTCTGTAAGTCCATATGATTTCCTAGAAACTTTTCATCCTTTTCTAGTTCTTACAATGAATGGTATCCTTAATAGGTTCTAGAAATACTAAAATTATGTTTTGTGTATGTAGGTTTGTTGTTGTGTTCCAAACACCATGGTCCAGTCCTTGTGATCATTGTGCTGGTTTTCTATAAATTTTAGAATCATTTTCTTTTGTAGCTGACATCATTGGTATTCTATCCTTTGTTGATAATAAGAATCTTTTGTCTTGTTATGTTGTTGATAGGTCTAAGAAAGCTCCTACATGAATTAAGCCTGTCCATCCTGGATTGTTTCCAGCTGCCTATTCTGTCAATCTAGGTTTGTTGGGTGCTAAATATCATGATCCGAGTATCTTGATGACCATTTATTTTGATGGTTTTTTTTACATCTTATGATCATATTCTTTTTCAAATTGTTTGTATCCCCTAGTTCTATCATGATGGAAGTTTATTTTTGCTATTGAATATGAAAGAAAGCATTAGTCAACTTCCTCTATTAGAAGGTAATTTAATTCCAGATCTATTGAGGTAGTTTTTGATCAATATGAAAGAAAGCAACGAATTCATTTTCAATCTATTCATTAAAGTTGAAATAAGCTTACTAAGCTAAAAAATGATAAAAAAAAATTAATGCTAATGTTTCCTCACCACAACCCAAAGGTCAAGTCTATTTTATAATTTTTAACTTTTGATTCAAGTAAAATTTTTATTTGTGTTTAATTATTTATAGATGTTGAATAACTTCTGCTTTGTTTTACCTTTAACCAGTTAACCTTCTTTTCTTTTGTTTTGCAGTTGTTGAGAAGCTTATTATATATAATATAATTTTGTAAAATGTTAAAAAAAAATTATAAATTTTAGATGTTCAGACAACTATTGTAGCCAAGGAAGCATTGGAAGGAGACTCTATATATATGATGGAGGGTTTTGCAGCTGAAGAAAGACTTTAATAAAGCAAGTTCATAGCTTCTATGTGCCTTTGAAACTGCAAGAGATGCTGGAGCCCTTAGAGAACCTAAGGACAAACTGGAGAAGTGAGTTGAAGAGCTGACATGGAGATTAGACTTTGAAAAGCATTTGAGGGTATATTTCTTGTATCTAATTAGTTTGTAAATTTTTGCTACAACTATTGATTTGTTTTATCTTTCCATGGAACGATTATTTGTATGACATTAAATTTTATGCAATGGATTGTATTTTTTGTATATGATATTTTATTTTCTATTATAAGACATTAAATACAAATTTAATTTGAAAATTAATAAATCTATAAATAATATTTTTTTAAAAAAATTTAAAATTATGATATACAAAAATGTGTGTCATCTTCATTTATGACATGGGCTTTCTTGACAGGGGCTTTCTTGATACGCATTGCGTGTCATTAACATGCGCGCCGTAAGGTTACGACACGCGAATCCGTGTCGTCTTTCTTTATGACAGGGTATTTCTTGATACGCACTGCGTGTCGTAAATGCACGTCGTAATTGCGCGTCGTAAATGCGCATCGTCTATAGACGACGCGCAAAAGCGTGTCGTCTCTCTTTATGACAGGGCCTTCCTTGACGCGCATTTGCGCGTCGTCTGAGCCTTTTACGACGCGCAATGAGCGTCGTAAAAGGCTGTTTTTCTAGTAGTGATTGCGATGAACTTGTATCCCCCCCTAAAAGCATTTAAAACAGTTAAAGGTTGATTGCAGGGGTATGAACTCACCTAAAGTGAGTGGTTTGAATGAAAGGTCGACATGGGATGTTAAGTGTCAAGTGAAGTCTCGAACACAAATGGATCCTATTTGTGTTCGCATCTGGAAAGCTTAGGAGTCCTCAATATGAGTATAGCATGCTCTCCCTGGCCCTCAGCTCAATACTGGCATACTCCAGGGTTTGTTGGTTACCGCATGAAGCAATACAACCTCAACCCTACGCACACAATATGTCGACATGTAACAGCTAAATACACATACAAATAATCAGACAGTACCACAGGTAGTCCTACAGATCTACCAGACTAGCATATCAAATTAGCACGCATAACTAACTCACACTCAACATATCAACAACTACTATGATATCAATTCCAATGGCTCGGCCTTGGTGCCTTTGACCCCTAAGTATAGTGAGGAAAACTCACATCACAAGTAGTGTTGAACCGATAAAATAGAATCCCAACTCACAGCTCCGAACTGAACTACCTAAAACCACATATGACTACTTCCATTAAAATACCAAATTACCAAAATACTAAAACATCCCCAAAATACAGATCAAAAAATTATTTTTAAAACATTTATTATAAAACCATAAGTCATCCATCATTGTAAAGAAAACCATAACTCGAGTATCTTAGAACATCATGTCAAATACTATATCAAAATCATATGAAAAATACCAGTCTAAACATCCCAGGTTGAAATTTTGGTGTGTGCCATGCGATAATCCTAAGCCCTTCCCCTTGCTAGTGGAAGTACCTGAAACCAAACTGAAAACTGTATGCACGAAGCTTAGTGAATCTCCCCAAACTACCACATACCATACGCATAACATATAACATATCTTGGGCCCCACCCCTGCTACATCGATACTAGCTTAGAATCGGCTTGCCTGGCATCAGGCCCCGCCCGACATCGAACCTTATTCGGCATCGGGCCCCTCCCGGCATCGAGTAGATCTCAACATACATATACATATCAATAATTATATAGCATAAGCACATAACACTATCATGAAAACATTCCTCGGGAACCGCCTCAATATCGGACCGGAGTCTGGAACATACTATCATAACATATTAACTAGACATTCCAAGGGCTTGCCCCGACATCAGACCTAAGCCCGGAACACATAACACATAACAAACACATGCAAGAATCAGAAAGACATCAAGCATACTAGCATACAAGCATTCCGTCGGACCGCCCGACATCGGATCAGAATCCGGAAAACATATAAATCTATTTCGGGCCCCACCCAGCATCGAACCATGGTCTGGAACTATTGCTATCTAAACGGGCCGGCCTTAGTGCCTTAGACCCGTTCATACTGTAGAGAACTCACCTTGCAAGGCTGTCTGCAAAAACTCGCGGTGAGTAAAATATGATAGCTACTCTAACGACTCCCCGACTATCAATATCACAATAATACTTAATTAAAATATGATGATCCTTTTCAGGGTAAAATGACCATTTTACCCCTGGTCAAAGTCAACATCCTGGTCAAACTCAAAGTCAAGGTCAACTCCTAGTCAACCCCAACTCATCGAGTCATCTCCCAACTCGGCGAGTCCATAAACAACTCAGACACATGGCCAACTAAGTCAACTCGTCGAGTCCCTTCCCAAACATGTTAAGTTCTTCCTGTCATAACATCGGTACATATCGACTCTAACTTGTTGAGTCCCTCATTGGACCTATCGAGTTCTTCAGCTTTCGAGTCCTAATCTTGTCCAACCCACTGAGTCATCTCCTAAACTCAATGGTTTCACTCACAACCAGAAAAGGAGTTAGGGTTCACAACCCAACTCATCGACTCCAAGAACAACTCGTCGAGTCGTTATTGTGGCATTTTCATTCAGTCGATTCTAATCCATTCCAATGCTTCTAACTCATAGATCATGACTCCTTAAACTAGCATTGCATGTAAAGTTGCTAACTTTACATGCATGCATGGTGTTATGAAGCTAAAACACCCAATCCAAGCCAAAAATGAAAGTCTAAGTCATAAAATGGAGCCATGGTAGAATAAAGGTGGCAACTTTGAGCTTCTAAAGCTCAAGAGTGCCCAAATCTAAATTCCTTTCATCCTAAAGGGTTTAAAGCTCATATTGACCTTGGAAATGTTCCAAAAATGACAACATACAAGATAAGAAGGAGATCTAAGTCAATAACAACCAAGGTATATGCTTTATACATCCAAAGGGTCTGAAATGTAACACAATCTTTCGATCTACTACTTCTTCTTGAATCCCCAAGGGTCTCCTTCCTTCTCCTAGCTTCAAATGACACACAATGGAAAGAAACTAGCTTATTAACACACAAGGTTTATTAGGGTTTTGAGAGTAGGCTATGGAGGTGATGGAGGCTAGGGTGGAGGCCTGATATGATGTT